TTAGAACCGTACAAAATATTTTTCATTTCGATTTTGACCGCTCTGCGTCCCTATTTCAATTTTTAATATCGCAAACAAAGGTGCTGTTGTTAAAAATGGTACCTTTTTTACGACTCCTAAAATTGATCCAGAGAAACAGAACGGATCCGATTTAAAAAAAAAACGGTGAAATTTCCATGAAAAATTGAACATTTCTCTAAAACTTGTTTCTAAATTACCAATGTCAAGGTCCAAAATGGTCGAGCTATTTGATGCAATCGAAAATGGTAAGTCGGACTTCTTTTCGGTTATGTTTTAAGTAAAAGAAACTTCGATTTTGCTAAGACAATTTTTATATTTAGATTCTATATCAACAATCGAATATTTGATCCGGGGAGGAATGAATATGAGCTTACGATTTGACACTGGAGATACTCCAATCCATGTGGCTGCAAGTTTTGGTAAATATTCTTATCGAGAGACGCGCATGGTTAATTAGAAACAATACAAGTGACTTTAAAGCGTCGTTCATTTAAGTTCAAAATTGGTACAATACACTTGTAAATCATGGGATCAATTAAAGTTCAAAACCATGGTATGTTGTCAATGCTAAATACATACAATATTCCAAGGAACGGTTGTTATTTCCACATCAAACTTTAGTGAATGGCTAAGCATGTCCGCGAGCTCCCCCAGCGAGCCAGCTCCTCAATATGTGAGCGCTCAGCTCAGAGAGAGCTGGCTCATTTACGTGGCGTTAACATAGGAAAAATGTCAGAATATTTTCAGTTTTTTTTTAAATATTAGCTGTCAACATTCTGACATTTCTTTGTATTGCAACGCCACTTAAATGAGCCAGCTCTCTATGAGCTGAGCGCTCACATATTGAGGAGCTGGCTCGCTGGGGAAGCTTGCGGACATACTTGTGAATGGCACTATTTCAACCTAATCTCAAGGGCATATCTTTTGATTCTTATCAAATAACTTATGTGTACCTTTGCTTTTCTTTGATACATCTACATTTTAGGTCGTGCGAATGTCACAAAAATCCTCATCAAACACGGTGCAGACCTCAGTGCTAAAACACATGATGGATATACCGCTCTTCATATTACTGCATACAAGGGTAATTGAACCCATACCCTTGCTTTCAAATATAAACAATTTTTTTCATTCTCCTGCATTTTAGATTATGCGAAAATCACCGAATACCTCATCGAACATGGTGCTGACGTTGATGCGAAAAGCAGCGGTGGATATACATCCCTCCATTTGGCTGTGACGTATGGTGACGTATATTCTGCATTTCTTCGTATTATTTTCATGGAAATCTTTGCTAAATTTTTTTCCCAAAATAATCTGTAGACTTTTCTCACGTTTTCAGGTTCCGTGAATGTCACAGAAGTCCTCATCAAACATGGTGCTGACATCAGTGCTAAAAATCAAAAGGGAAATATGCCAATTCATCTTGTGAGCCAATTTGGTAAAGCCTTTGCTTTCAAACCAAATCTTATTTGCATTTTATATTACTTTATGTATTTGTCTAGGGGAATTTAACTCTTACGAGTTCAGCATGTTTTCTGCCAGTT